AATGGTGGCAAAAGAGAGCCACTTAGCCTCTCATCCTGGAATTTCAACATCTTAACCAACTACAACTGAACAAAGAATTTCCTGCTCAATTCAGAGGAATGCCTGAGAGACCTGCACATTGAAACATCTAAAGGTGAGCAACCAGGAATAAATGGGGAGATGAGAAGGGACAGAAGGGCAGGCGGTCTGCAGCTGGGACCTCATGGCTCTGCCTGGAGAGGGGAGGAAGCCAGCAGTAGCAGACTCTACCTTCTGCCAGGAGGAACAGAGAACAGCAGGGAGCAATTCAGCAGGGTGAGTGGCTAGTGGAGCAAACAGTGGCTGAGCCAGCAGATGCCTGACAGAGCACAGGGTTCTGCTATGTGACTCTCCACTGTCAGGTCAGGCAGTGGTGGTTCAGACAAAGAAATGGAGCCACAAAGCTCTGCCAACCTTTGTAATCCCAAAATTTGCTTCCCATTTCCCTTGGGTCAAGAAGCAAATTATCTGTAAACTAAGAACTATTTCAGTAGAACTGTTATTTCCTTGTGACTGACTGATCCTCAGCTAGGGTGCTTGGAATGGAACCACACCAAGATCAGGAGTCATGATTATGGTGAGGTCAAAACAAACCTCACCGCCAAGCAGCATGCCTGTGCTATCTTACCAAAGCTGTGAATGTCAACCCTGGGAAATCATAGTTTTAAGGTATTAGAAAGAGAAGAACCAGAAGTCAGCAGAAGAAAATAAACAATAAAAATTAGAGAAGAATGAAATGAAATAGAAAACAAAAAGGTTATACCAAAAAAATGATAAAAACAAAGAGCTGGTACTTTGAAAATATTGATAAAAATTGACAAACCCCTAGCTAGTCTCACTAAAGAAAAATGGAAAAGACTCAAATAAACAAAATCAGAAATGAAAGAGAAGTGGCCACAGACATAACAGATATACAAAGGATCAAACTAGAATATTATGAAAGACTACATGCCACCAAATTCAATAACCTACAATAAATAGATAAGTTTCTAGAAATGTATATATGCTTTCCTAAACTAAATCATGAAAACTTGGAAAATCTCAATAGACTAATTAGCAGTGAGGAAATTGAAACAACCATCAAAAACCTTCCTAAAAACAAAAGTCCAAGATCAGATGATTCCACCAGCGAATTGTACCAAACATTCAAAGAAGATTTAAAACCTATCCTCAAACTCTTGAAAAAAAATTGAACAAGAGGCATTACTTCCTAACATATTTTATGAGGCCAATATAACCCTGATACCAAAACCTGACAAAAATAATACAAAAAAAAGTAAACTAAATATCAATACCTTTTATAAATACAGATGTAAAAATCCTAAACAAAATACTAGGAAACATAATATTACAATACATTAAAAAAAAAAAAACATGGTTCATTCCAGAGACACAAGGATATTTCAGCATACAAAAATGAATCAACATAATATACTACATTAAGAAAAGGAAGGATAGGATGGCTGCTCAGGTAGACACCTAACCGCAGCAGCACACAACAATTTCAATGGAATACAAATAAAATGTAGAGTGGACATTGCCCAGAGCTACAGGTAGTCGACTGACTGAAAATTCTACAACAAGAAGGAAAGAGAAAACCAGAAGGAAAATCAGAGGATACAAATCAATGTGCAAAACCCATTGCCTTGCTGTATATTAACAACAAAATTTCAGAAAAGAAATGAAACAATTTATTTTGCAAATAAAACAATAAAATACCTAAGAATAAACTTAACAAAATATATGAAAGGCCTATATACTGAAAATTACAGAGCACTATTAAAAGAGGTTGAAAAAGACATAACAAAATGAAAAAAATATCCCATGTTCATGGATTAGAAGAATAAAGAGTTAAAATGGCCATATTATCCAAAGCAATATACAATAGTAATGGAATCTCCTTCAAAGTCCCAATGTCATTTTTTTAAAGATGTAGGGCAAAAAATCATCAGATTTGTAGGGAGCCAAAAAGGACCCCAAATAGTCAAGGCAATCCTGAGAAAAAAGAACAAAGCTGGAGGTATTACACTACCTGACTTCAAATTATACTACAGAGCTATGATCATCAAAACAGCTTGGTATTGGCAGGAAAATGAATGCAAGGAACAATGGAACAGAATAGAGAGCCCAGCTATAAAATCACATGTAAATGGACAGGTAATTTTTCTATAAAGGAACCAGAAACACACAAGTAAAGATGGTTCTGGGGAAACTGGAAAGCCACAGCAAGCAAATGAAACTGGATTATAGTTTGTCCCCATGTACAAACAATTCAAAATGGATCAAAGACCTAAACATAAAACCTGAAACAATAAGTCACATAGAAGAAAATTTAGGCACCAAACTTATGGACCTTGGTTATAAAGAACATTTATGAACTTCATCCCAAAGGCAGGGGAAGTAAAGGTAAAAATAAATGAATGGGATTACATCAAACTCAAAAGCTTCTGCACAGCAAAAGAAATGGACAACAAAACAAAGAGACAGCCAATCAGATCGGACATGATCTTTGGAAACAGTAGCACCAACAATGGTTTAATTTCCAAAATATATAAAAGAACTCATAAAACTCAACACCAAACAAACAAACAACCCAATCAAAAGTGAGCAGAGGACCTGAAAATACATCTCTCCCAAGAAGACTTACAAACAGCTAATAGGTATATGAAAAGATGTTCAACCTCACTAGCAATTTTGAGAAATACAAGTCCAAATTACGACAATATACCACCTTACACCTATTAGAGTGGTCATTATAAGACAAGCAATAACAAGTGTTGGAGAGGTTGTGGGGAAAACGGGAACCCTCATTCACTGCTGGTTGGAATGTAGACTAGTACAACCACTATGCAGTCTGGCAATTCCTCAAAAAATTAAGAACATAGCTACCATATGACTCAGCAATCCCACTCCTGGGTATATACCCAAAAACTCAAAATCATGTATTTGCAAAGATATATACACCCCTATGTTCATTGCAGCATTATTCACAGTAGATAAGACATGGAAACAACCAAAATGTCCTGAGATAGAAGACTGGATAAGGAAGATGTGGTCCATATACACCAGTGGTTCTCACCCTTTCTAATGCCGTGACCCTTTAATACAGTTCCTCATGTTGTGGTGACCCCCAACCATAAAATTATTTTCATTGCTACTTCATAACTGTAATTATGCTACTGTCAATGAATCGTAATGTAAATATCTGAGTATTTTATGGTTGGGGGTCACCACAACATGAGGAACTGTATTAAAGAGTCGCAGCATTAGAAAGGTTGAGAACCACTGATATGCACAGTGGAACACTACTCAGCCATACACCATTTACAGCAACGTGAATGGACCTTTAGAACATTAGGCTAAATGAAGTAAATTAGTCAGAAAAAGCTAAGACCATATGATTTCACTCCTATGTGGGATATAAACTGGAAACTCATAAACACATAGCAGTGTGGTGGTTTCCAGAGGGAAGGGAAGTGGGGAGAGGGGTCCTAACTTAAAGTGACAGGAGAAGATTTGGCTGGGTGGTGCACACAGTGCCAATATACACCTCTTGTAGCATAGAAACCCACACCTGAAACCTGTATGATCAGGCGGTCTAATCTCACCCCTGTAAATACAATTTTAAAAAAATAAGTAAAAAACAAGCTTTTAAAGCATGTTTTCATTTCTATCATAAAATACTATACTATGAAGTTCTGAATACTTTTGGAGAAGAAACAATAAAGCTAAGAATACAAATAATATTTTAGTATAAAAGAAACTCTGATACTAAAAAATATAGTAAGTAAAACAGGAAAAAACAGAGATAATGTAGAAAGTCATATTGTTCCCCTGCCCGTAGCATCGGCCTCTAGTCTAGAGAGGAGAGTAAGGATCAAGTCCCAACCCCTCTTTTACCTTGTCTCTCAGCGTTCAGTAAAGCCAAGAAGGAGAACTTGCAGGAAGAAACGTGGAGCTTTGAAAGGTGAGCTTCTGCCCTCACTCAGGCTGCCTGAGATTTTGCCTCCATCTGCTCTGTCCCTGCAGCCAGGCAGGTCCCAGGATGCCAGCGGCAGAGCTGTCTCTCAGGAAGCAGGGCCTCGGTGGCTCCTGGAAGGAGGCAAAAGGCAGGTGCTTCACAGATCCTGTGCTGGGAACGAAGCCTCGGGGCCTGGGCCTGGGTGCTTCCCTAGCAGGGGTCCCAGGAGGGCCCTGGGCTGTTGTGGACCAGTAGTACCCGACTGGGAGCGGGACCCCAGGTCCAGCTGTGGGCGTGCTGTTTACCTTTGCTCAGATCCTTCCCTGGTGCCCCTGCCCTTTCTCCCCACGGGGATCTAGGGGGAGGGGTACAGGGGGTAGTGGATGGAAACACTTTGTAAATGACAAAGCACTAGTGTGCTGAGCCTTGCCATTGCTGTCAGGGGTCATGTGGCCTTGACCCTGATGCTTGGGCTCCTGAGGCAGCGCTCCAGGGTGTCACTCTTAAAGGCCCAAGGCACTCAGCCTCCTGTCAGACCCCCTGGCCCTGGTCCGCCATGTGACCCAGTCTCCTGATTTCCAGCCTGCAGAGAGTGCCTGCAAGACATGGAAAAGGCTTAGGGCCCAATAAATCTTCTCCGAAGGTAAAGAATCTTCCCCTTCTCTCCTGGGTCCTCTTCCCCCAAACCTATGATGTCACCTTAGGCCTCCTGGCACTGACCTGGGAGGAGCCATGGGACAGGGTGTGTCGATGGCCCTGGGGTGAGGGACAGCAGGAGCACTGGGAAGTCAGTGTCAGGACCATGAAGGACCCTGGAGGTGCACACCCCATCTGGCCTGCCCGCCCGCCTGGCCTGGCTGCAGCCTGTGCCTCCATCTCCTGCAGCCACCTGGGGAGGCCCCCTGAACAGGGCGGCTTTCGTCAGCGCTCCTGTCAAGACCCCTCTGGTGAGGTCTGCGAAGCTGCGCCTGCTGGAGCCAACGGGCCCTGTGAGGCGCCTGTGGAAGATGCTGCTCCCACCATGTCCCCCTCGGCCTCTCTGGCTCCTGTGACTGAGTGCCCGTTACCTCCAGCCTCCACCTTGTCACCAGGACCGACCACCTGCTCTGTCCCCCTTCATTCCCACTCACCCCTGAGTGCCTCTCAGACACCAGAGCCTTTTCTATTGCTGGATGACCTTTCACCCCAGCCACTTGCACTTAACCTGTTCCCCTTCACTTCCCCCTGATTCAGGGGCCCACCCTCCACCTCCCACAGCCTCCTCTACCTCAGCACCACCAGCCTCCACTCTGACTCTTCCCCAGTGTGACTCCGTGGCACTGACACTGGGGCCCGTCCCATGGAGCTCATGTCCACACACACCTCGGTTGGCTTCTCCCACCCCAGTTCAACTGCAGGCCACAGTCTCTCCACTGCTTTCCCATCCCCAGCCCATGTCTCCCTTGGCGTTCCCATCTCCATCCTTGCTTCCAACCGTGCCTCAATTACCACCCCACCTCTGGCTCAGGTCCAGCCCCGATGCTCTCTACCAGCCCTACCACCTTCTTCTCCACCTCAGATTGGAAGCTGTGGAGTGTCATGCCCGACAGCCCAGAATGAGACACAATTTTTAATCCCAATTGAGATTCCACAACCAGAAAGGCCCTCGTTGCAGAAGCAAGTAGAAAGCGGGTGGGATTTATCCTCTGTAGTCAAAAGGTCTCAGGAAGTCTTCAGAGTCTTCACTTCCAACTGTCCCAAGGACAGCATCCTTCCTGAGAATTTTCCTATCAATCCTGAGCCCCGGAAGCAACTGGAGCCACATCTGCAAAACTGGCATATGCAACACAGCTGGGAGCTGTCCCCCAAGATCCAAGAACCTCCCAAACCAGGGCAACAGCAGAGCGAATTACCAGACACATGTCAGGCAGAGGACAAGCATGAGTCCTCACAGCCCTCTTCACACACAGGTGAAAGCAGCAACGACACACAGAACGTGGGGCTCCAGCTAAGGCACGTCACAGGGAAGGTCCCAAAAGATCTCTCCAGGGGCTCAGAAAGCTCCCTAGTGACATCTCAGAGGATAGACTCTGAGAAGTCGGAAAGTGATGTGATGCTTTTGAGAAGGGACTCTGGAAGTGATTTATTGAGGAATTTAGACAAAAATCTAGAAAACACGCTAACAGGCCACTTGGTCAGCAAGTTGGGACAGAGGAGCAAGGGCCTGATGAGTGTGCATGGATGCTGGCTTGATGTCAGGCACTCTTCTGCCAAGGCTGACACTCACATGGAAACCAAAAATCTGGGAATTTTAAAGGATTGGGAACCCTGCATGAACGCCTCTCATGGGGTTGTCTTTCTCGATTCTGACGTTCAAAAGGTGCTAGAAGCACATATTACAAAGTTTTGGTTGAAGCACAGGTGGGGCCTGCCCCTCAAGGTCCTCAAGCCCATGGGTCTCGTTACGTTGAAGAGGGCTCAAACCTCACCCATTCCACACTCATCTACCTGTGTATCTGGGGCCTTCTCAATAGATGAATTTGTTGAGTTCCCAGAAAAACCATCTCAGGCCTGTACAGGAGAGAAAGTGAAAACAGACGACTCAGTTCCCACCCTGGCAAGGTGTCTCCGTGCCCCCTCACGTGTGTGTTAGGACATGCAGAGTGCTCTGGGAGGGACCCCACCTGGTGTTGGCCATGGTCCTTCAAAGGCCTCTCTGACTAGACAGGAGGGTAGGCCACCATCTCAGTCTGTCTCACTCACCTGGAAGAGTAAGACTGTGGAGTGGGCTGAGTGGGATAGTCTAGATCTCAGTCCAGGTTCAGCCATGGCCAGGAATGATCCAAGAGGGAAGGACAGGGGTGGGGCCTCACAAGAGGCCTTCAATGGGGTAGCAATGCAGGTGATGAACTTAATATCCCAATCTTTGAGGGCAAAAGTGGTCAAGGAGACAATGGAGGCCTGTGTGTCCCCTGCTCTTCAACCAGAGTTGGGAACCAATGTACAGACAATATCCCAAAACATCAATGCACATTTGAAGAGTGTAGAATCTCCAGGGACCAGTAACGACTCCCTAGTCCCTAGGACATCTTTTCTCCAAGAACGAGGAGAGCCATGCCTTAACAAAAAGATCAGTAATGAACTTTAGTCTAAAGTGCAGGTACCGTCAAAGAACCAACCTCAAGACAGTCCCACACACATGCCCCTTGCTGCAGACAAGGTGCACCATCGCCACTCCCAGAGAGTGCCCCTTGGAGTCAGACTAGCGTCCCATGTATTATGTGGCCTGAAGACACCCCAAAGGAGCAGCCAAGGGAAGCAGGAATCCAGAATATCATATATGCAGGACTCGTGGAAGAATCAGAGACGAATGATTGCCCCTACCTACATGAGAGAGAATTGTAGGAGGCCCAACTCAAGAGAGCAGGCAAAAGGGCATGAGAAATTGGGGTCTTATCAAACTATTAGAATGACCCCCACTGCCAAAGCTAGGGGCACAGGAGACTCTGTTGAGAGGCAATACCCCTATCTGGAGCCAGAGAAGAAACAAGGTCCTTCAGAAAGTTTCTTCAGACAACCAGTGAGGCTCTTCTTTCAGGGGATTTTCCCCAATAAAAAACCCAAAGGTCAGGATGCTCTGCTAGACTACAAACTCAATTCAGCTACCGTCCAGAACGAAGGACCAGGCAAAAGCATATCAGTTATGGGAAGCAGGATCCCTGAGGCTCAGACACTCATAACAACTGTAGGGCAGATTCTCGAGGAGAAAATTCACCAGGGACTTGGTACCACAGCATTAAGTGAGCACAAACAGGAACCCAAAACCCCAGTGTGTAGGTATGTTTGCTACCCCAGGCTTCCTTTCTGTGAGAAAGGGGTGTGATGAGTCACACAGCCTGCAGGCACCAGGCCAACTCCAATCAGAGTTGTTCCAGGAGGAAAGGGCAAGTCAGACACACAGAGTGCTTGAAAAGCATCAAATTCAATGATGAGCCCTTGGGCCTGAGTCGCCCCACATTCCTGGCCTCCAAGACATGTTTGTCTTCAGTGAGATCCTGCCAGCATGGGCCAAAGGGGCCAGGTGCCCTGGGCCACCATCAGCACTGCCCGAGGCTCTGTCTTTTTCCAGTGGGTGTCTTGTCTGGTCGACCATAAGCATGTCTCCATGAAAAAAATCAATCCATTTTCTCAGCACATTCATAATATTTAATTTTCCTCAATATATGTTTGTTCCCTCCTAAGAGTTGGTGCAGTGGCTTCTGTCTGTGGTGCTCAGTGTACACATTGGCTTCTAGAAGGGAGGGGCATAGAGGAAGACTGACTGGCATTGTAAGCTTATCTCAAGTTCTTTCACTGTGTGTTTTCACAATATGTCATTACATAGCAAAAACTCTAAAACAAGAAGAGAAAAATCCATGAAGATCCACCCTAGGATCTGGTTCAACCCAATTTCTCCTGCTTCCGCTCTACTTTGAACTTTATGCAGCTCTAGAAAACAGGTTTACAAGGAGATCACAGGCTGGGCATCCCACTCAGGCTCCAGAAAGTATCAGAGCAAAGTGGATGGAAGTGTGGGGGTGGGTGTAGTGGTGTGGAGGTTGCTGGGCCCTGAGTTCAGAAGCACGCTCTTGGTGGGAAATTAATAGCATCTGCCCTTAAGACCCCTTCTCTCCCTAATGAAGACTGCCATGGAGATGGCCCTGTGAACCCCTCTGAGCTTAGCCTGGATAAAATACAGTCACCCCTCCCCCACCCTGCCTGCCCCACACTTACAGCCCAGCTAGGAAGGCACTCTTCACTCCATGTGGACAGAGGGCAGTGACAGGGAGTCTGCTGAGGGCTGAGTTCACCTCTGCCCCAGATGAGTGAGTGGCCATGGCCATGGGTCACCTGCCTCCCTCTGTGTAAATCTTAGGGAAGGAGTTCTGGCTGGACGGAATGGAGCGTGACTGTGTGTGGTTCCCATCTGACAGTCGGATATCAGGCGGAATGTGGGTAAAGAATGGAAAGGTTGGATCCAAGGAAGAAGGCAAAGTGGCACAGAGTGTTCATAACTGTGCAGTGACCGAGGAGCCCTGAGGTCCCACCGCCATCTACAGCCTGGGGTTGGGGGAAGGGCTGCACCCCAGGTCTTCACCTGCTCCTGCTCCCAGACCACAGACCTAAAGAAGCCACCTCTAGGGCCAAACGGGGGGGGGTAATGTCCTCACAATAGTTAACAAGCCCGCACACCCTCACCTCCTGAATTCTAGAAAGGATGATTAAGGACACGTGGAAAGCCAGGACGAGGGAATTCAGATGTCACTCCCAGGATGGTAACCTTCACAGAAACACATGAACCGAGCCTGCTCCGGGGGAGAGATGGGGACTCAGAAGGCTGAGACCAGCTGCCATCACATAAGTCTTAAAGAGGCCATCAGACAGGACTGGGCACTCGGGAAGGTGGAAGGGACCTCAGAACGGGGGCTGCAGCCCAGGAGGGGTGGGGTCCCTTTGTGCTCTGCTCCTAGTGCAGCTGCCCTCCCCGCCCCCAGCCATACCTGAAGCAGGAAGAGAGCTTACCCTCTGAACGGAAGGCAGTGTCATTCCTTCCACCTTTGTATTGTAAGAAATAATAACAGGCCTCACATATGTATCCAGCATTTTCCAAAGGGTGCACTCTGAGAGACTCCATACTACTCACTGCTAACAGGCAGCCAGGTGCCCTTGCCTTGGTAAAATCTCTTTTAATGTCAAGTGTGTATCACTGGGTAAGTCTCCCAGAGGCTCCATCCTGAGCACGGCCTTAGGCCTTTAAGGGAAGCAGGGCTGTTTTGGCCTATTTATTTCAATCAAAAGTAATCCTGCCCTCGGTTCCACACAATTAAAAAGTGTATAACAATTTTTCTACTCCCTTAAGGCACTGAATCATAAAATGATGGAATATGGTCATGGCATCAGCTAACATTCCACCGGATCTTTTTTACAGTGCAACATATGCTGGTTTAGTTTATTAATCAGAACAAAATGGGATCAACTGGGAAAAGTTCATAGAGGGAAATACCTTTTTCAAGTTGATTATCTTAATGGCGTTCAAATAAGTGATTATTCTTTCATCGTTTGAATTAAAGATAAGAATGAAAGATATAGAGAGACAAATGAGAATGACAATACAACATATCAAAACCTCTGGGATTCAGTGAAAGAAGTAATAAAAGGGAAGTTTATATCATTACAGGCCTATCTCAAGATACAAGAGAAATCCCACAT